AAAAAACACATTGGATCTACAGTCCAGACTCTTGAAAACATTCACAAGAAAAAGGACTCTTGATTCAATCAGATTTAAGCTTAAATCAAAAGGAAATCCGCTCAAATTAAGAGGCTTGGTTCTTGATTTAGGCTTAAATCTGATTGAATCAAGAGTATTTTTTCTTGTCGGTGTTTTTAAGAGTCTGAACTCTCGATCCAATATGTTGTTTTTTTCCAGTGTGGCTTTCGTATGCGGTAAACTGATATTTTCTTGCGAGGAGTGGCAAGTGCTACTTGTTGGCACGCGCAAGAAAAAAGGCGCATCAAAAGACGTTTGAACGTTCGTGACTCTCGGCTGGAATCGAGATTAAACAATGCAAGCTCATGAGTGCATCCCTGAATTCCCCACGGTGTCCCGGTCAAGTCACCGCGGAACTTTGATTAGTCAAGGGATGTCTACCAGAAGTCAAGCTTGTTTATTGGAAATTCTCCGAGGTGACGGGAGTCCAGAGTGAATGCAGAAATCGTCGCCACCGATTCCTAGAATTCCTTATGGTCCCGGCCAATCGACATTGAAACTTACCGATGATGTATGATTATGGATCTGGGTTCTTCCTGTGTGGTGAAACATAGGTGTTGACGACACACTTGTGTTACTTTTACGCTGTGTTACTTTAGAAACGTGGTTAACTTCCAAACAGAAGTGTTAACAAACACTTCTTATTAAAAGGTATGCCTTTCCAGGTACGAACACATATATAATATTCACATACAATCCAGAAATAATAAAGTAAAATATCCTTTTTTACGCCATGACTTGTCCTGCAGCACCCGGATGCGTTGGGCAGTGGAAAAATACAGTTACAATGATTTTCTCGTGATTTTACTTTCCATCGGTGGCACTGCTGCACTCTTTCTGGGATGTAGTCTCCTCACATTTGCTGAATTTCTATACTTCTTTACGTTACGTCTCTATTGTGTTGTCCGTCAGCACAGGCTCTCTGAATCAAACTTAAAAACTACTAAATCAATTTATCCTCTAAACGATTAACTTGAGAACCAATAACCTCATGCCTGATCCAAGAAAATATGTTGACTTAGGGATGAACACACAATAGAAATATCAAACTTGCTTAAAACTTACAGAATTAGAAAATTATTTATTCCTTTCGCAACATTAGTAAGATACAGAGACTACCATTTCTATAGAAATGGTGCTTTCTATAGAAATGGTAGTCTTGCAAATTGAAGTATTTCCGTTTGATGCGTTTTAGAATGCTTTCAATGGCAATATACTCTGTGACGATGTTACTCATTTTTCAAGTAATTCCATTTCAATAGAACTCTAATGTCCGTATTGACTCACACCTGTTTGTTTTATTCTGGTTTTTCATGAATTTTTTCTTTAAATATTATTTTGTGCCTATTTGTCGAGGGTTAATGAACAACTGACAATATCGGCAAAAATAAGTTAGCGACCTGGCCTTATTCTACAGTACAAAACATGGAAGTTGAATATTGTAGTTTTTTTATCCAATCCTGTACACTGAAAAAAATAGTAGCTTGGATCAAGCATGATAATTCTTGAATTTGCCGCCAAGAATTTTCTTTATCTTGCTTTAAGCTGACTTTTTCTTGATTCAAGAAAAGTAATGCGTGGGTTAAGCAAAAAAGTAGCTTATATTAACCAGCAAAATTCTTGATTTAAGAAGAAGTACTTCTCGGCGGCAAATTTAAGATTTTTCTTTTCCAGTGGAGCGGAGCGCTGCGATGACGCTGTTATGTATGAAAAAATTGCAAATGTAACTTTAAAACTACAAAAATTCCGAAGCTTTCCCTTCCTCCTGGAAAATTGTCAGTTTGCAGATAGGCGGTATTTCTCCTCAGCCAAACTGAAAAAAAAACTCCGGCCGTGGATGCCGTACCTACGAGCTACACAGACATACCGTACGCGTTTTAGGCTCAGAATATGAGAGTTCCGGGTGTAGTACCCGGAGCAATCGAAGCTACGGCTTCAGTGCCCGGAATTTTCGGCTTCTAACCCCAAAACGGACGGTATGTCTATACAGCCCGTAACTTTTTTAAGTTCATCGATATCGACGATGGGATTTACGGAAAAAAGTGAAGGATGTATCGGAAGCGCGGCAGAAGAGGGCCGATGAAAGAGCAATTGCAGTGACCTTTCTGGAGCATTATTCATACTTTCTGCGGCGGCGGCAGAGCGGGGGATTTGCATACCGGTGACATAACCGACGAATCGCTTCGATTTTCTCCCGATACCCAGTTCAGTTGGCGCGGCCCGGCGCACATTGGGGTGACAGCCCATAAGCGCAAATTTTCGAAATCGACAGCCCAAATGCGGAAATATTCATTGCCCATAAGCGCAAATGAAATAATCGACCAGAATTTCGATTTATCGAATAGAGCGTAATCAAATGGAATCCGCTCGTGTGAGTGATTGTTTATTTTACAGTTGTTTGAAATTACCATCTCGTCACTATCGGTTTGAATTGTTGAATTGCACTTTTTTGAGACGCACCTCCATGAAACACTCCCGGCTTGCATTATCCGTTGCCACCTATACTTGAAACCATCTACTATCACGCACGGAACACCTTTATTTGTTTCACTTTTTCTTAAGCTCATCTTGCTTTGAAAGATGCACTCGCGGGACTGATAGTCCCATTTGCGCTTTTGGGCTGTCGACTTGGAGGATTTGCGCTTATGGGTTCGAACGGCACATTGGATTGAGTCAATAGGAAAGTCGGACAAAATTTGGAAACTTTAAAAGCAAATAACTCCGTGCAAACAAAACTTTGATGTTTTAAAAGTGTTTCCATTGGTTTTGTCGTGAAATTCTCCTCGAGAGGCACCCCTTAAAGTTTAAATTGTGACGAAAGAAACATTAAAATTTGCAGTTTTAGTAAAAAATTTCATGTCCGACCTCTCCGATTGACTCGATCCGCTGTGCGGCGGAACTGTGTCAGGGGATCATTTAACTTTGAGATTCTCCGGCCGGATTTCAGATGATAGGGTTGTTAGCATGCCGGAATAGACTTCCCGTCTGAGCAGAGATAACGCATAACGCACGGTCGAGGAAAAGGACCGCGAAATAAAAATGAGTGAAATAATCAACGGGCATTTGCGTATTCATCGAATCTCGCGAGGGAAAAATCAGAATTCGAAACGATTCGCAACTTTTCGGAAGCAGTATATCACCCAAATGCGATTTTAATCAGACTCACCATGAATAACTAAGGGGCAGTTCAAGTTTACGTAACGCTCTTCGTCCGATTTTTGACTTTTGATTTCTAATTTTTACATTTCTTATTTTTGATCATTTCAAAGGCAGCGTCCCTTTTCGGCGCATTCGATCCTTTTTGACTGGTGCATCTGCGACCTCCCACCTTCTTTCTGCGTAGGCCGATGGGGGAAAAGGCCCTTTTTTGGCTCACGTCTTTAATTTCATTTTTTCTTAAAAGTTTGCAATGCTCAGTAACTTTTATTTCAGCGCCACAAGGCGGCGGCCCGTACTTAGGACTCCACCTCATAAAAAGGGATACAAGCCCAACATAGAAACCTGCATTCATCTTCAAACTTGCATGTCATGACCCTTCAGATGCTATGTATGAGGAATGTTTACCCACAATTTTCCTACATTTCAACTCGTGGAAAATATGCGAAAGGCTTGACACTGTCCATTCAGCGTTGGACGCCTCGACGTTGTCCATTCAGCGTTGGACGCCTCGACAAACCATTACCCACAATTTTCTGGTTTTAAACTCGTTGAAAATATGCCAGCCCCTTCTGATTGTCCGTTCATCTCCATTAGACGCCGCTAGCGCTCGACTCCAACTCATGAAAATGGGTACGAGCCCAATGTAGAAACCTGCAATCATCTGCAAACTTGCATGACATGACCCCTTAGATTCTGTAAGGAAAGTGAAAACAAAATATTTTAACTTTTTCACTTGTAGAAAATATGCCGGCTCCTTCACATTGTCCATTATGCAGTGGGCGCATTGAACGTTCGACTCAAACTAAAAAAAAATGGGTACGAGCCCAACTTAGAAACCTGCATAGGGACGTCTTAGGACTTTAGGGTTCTTCCTTTCTTAAAGTTTCAAAACTGTGCCATTAATGTTGCGGCACCCATTTCGAATTCAATGACCGAAGTCCTATGCTTCACTAGCTATAGAGCGTTTTGAAGATATCCACTTGTAGCACTACACGGAAAAAATGTGTCAGGGGTTATCCCCTAAAATCGTGGTACTACCCCGATTTGTTGGATGATATGGACATTTCTAATTAATTGTGGTAGTGCCGCAACTTAAGTTAGAGTACTACACTCAAAAAAAGGTATGACTCTAAGACACATAGAAAATGGCTCGGAGATCCATGAGTTCTAACCAAAGTGACTAACCGTCTACAGTATGGCTTTCTGAGTCATATTTTATTGATCGTGAACCTATAAGCATAGCTCCACGAACTATGTTTCATGGCTCCGTGATCCATAACTCTACCGGCAAGTCACTCTTCCCATACTTTTTTTTTGAGTGTACCGCAACATTTGAGTTAGTTACCTAATTTATTGGGGTACCACATAATCAATTGGGGTGCTACCATAATTAATTGGAGGCCTACTACAATTAATTGGATATGTCCATAATATCATCCAACAACCTCGTGCTTTTATTCGGTGTATCGAAAAGGTGTGCGGCAACGATAATTGAGTTAATTTTACATTACAAAAGTAACGAATAAACACAATCTCTCTAAATAATACTGTAAAGTCAAGATGCTACGATGAGGAAGGGCGGCAATGGACATTTCAACGAGCAGTTCATAATTAAACGAAGAACTTCCTTGCTAAAGTCTACGTAAGTTCAGCAGCTGTCACTAAGTTGTCAGTATTCTGAGAACGCGTGTTGCGTGCTTTAACATACGCAAATGGGAGCTATCTCTTTTTAGCTAATGCCTGCTTTTTGTGCCTGAGCACAGCCTCCATTACTAGTCAATGTCTTGGGAAGCAGCAGTGTTGAATTTTGCTCTGAGCCATGGCGGCTCTTCCAGGGCATGTTTTACCTTCGTATTTTGCGTGTGTCGTATTGGTGGGTTTATTTATATTTTAAGTGTGTTTTATAAATACTATAGTTTTATACTGCTCAGTCACGTTTTATACTCTCTACAAAAATGTATTTTACTGACGACCGTCGAATGCGCTGCTTCACTTTACATATTTAATTAAACACTGGAAAGGAAACACATTGGATCTAGAGTCCAAACTCTTGAAAACATTGACAAGAAAAAATACTTTTTATTCAATCAGATTCACCCGCCGTGCGGCGCGCCGCTCGGCGGGTGGGCGGCCAGCGCGTAACGCGCATTGGCGCCTACAAACCTAAGTGAATACTTCTAGCATTGTGCAATGCGTGAAGTATCCACTTAGGTTTGTAGGCGCCAGTGAGCCTCTCGCACTGGCAGCACGCCGCTCCGCTCTGTTAGGTTGTAATATTTATACTCGCATAGTCAGCGTTTTTCAACTCATGATTTTGAAATGATAGCATTGATTATTCTCATTTAAATTGATGGGGAAAAAATATGTATCAATTTTTCAAAGGAGAATAATAATATAATGTGTGTTTTTTAAATATTAGTGGTTCCGTGTCAAATTTAATGATTTCCAAAGCACTTTAATTTTTCTTTTACATTTTGTGCTTTAATTGTGCTGCAGCGAGGTGTACGCACAACGAAACGCTCAAAATCTGACGTATTTGACTCTAAAAGATCGTACAAATGGGTTAAAACTAAAGATTGCGTGCTTCTTGGTTTTTTCCCCTCTTTTATTCATTTTTGCAGTTTCTGTCGGCATAATTGCGGCTCATTGAGATTAATGTCGCTTGGAAAAGGTTTTACAAATATTTGTCACGTTTTAAAAATATAAATGTTTTCAAAATGAAGTAATAATTTCGTAAAGGAAAAATTAAAAAATAAAAAAAGTACGTATACATATATAAGGTATATTGTACATTGAATATTTCAAGGATAGAAATAAAACCAAATATTCACCGATGACAATTTAAAACGATGATTCAAAAGGAGTAAGTAATGACATTTCATTTAGAAAATGAGCAACCATAACAACACCTCCTTCTCTCTCAATCTCTCATTTCCATATTGTCAATATAATTTTACATACCGACTAACACATAACGCTTGGACTAAGTCACTGTTGCTTATTTTACGTGTGGGCGTAAACTACTACTGGACAAAAAATCGTTGATAAAATGTCCTGAAACCTCGTCTACCAATTTCTACAATCAGCCCGCAAGATTACTTGCTCAGATGGCGAATTTTGTTCGGTCCTTTCCCCCGCACGAGTCTCGACCGAACTTAAGTCCGGCTTGAAGCTTCTGATTTGGTTGGTGGTGCTGTTCAGACTCATCGACGAATGTTGCGTCTTCGTGTGGAAGAACCGACGAAATTTGGCCCCAGTACACCATACCGTTTTTTAAAGATCCCAGTGCTGATGTGTTACAGGTAACTAACATCGCACTTGCAAGTACTGGGCCGCCTGTTGAAAACGTCGACCTAAAAAATTCCGAACCTTATCCACAAGTCCCGGGAGCTGATGATGGAGTTCATTCGCTCCAACCCAGAGGTCTTTTCGATAGTCTCGGCCTCACGAGCCTTTTCGGTTCGGTCTTCAGCGGCTTCAGCAACTTGGACAAGAACCCTGGTGGGGGGAGCTCCGGTCTCACCAACTTGAAAATCCAAAGCGGCGGTGGTCCGGGGTCTTCACTCGGCGAGTCGTTGCAAGTCAGTTCGCAGACGGGTATCGTCCTGCGCATGTTTAAAAGTGGAAAAAATGAGCCGATCAGATTCAGGAATAACAAGGTTTGTTCGTGCTTTTTTTACCAGCACAATGACACTGTAAATTAACGTAAAACCGTAAGAGTATCGCGTAACGTCTGAAGTGGGAAGTGCTTCGGGGGACTGCGAAAGGGTCAGGGGGTATAGCCCCCTCCCCTAGTAGATACTTAAAGTGTCTTTGAATACGGGAATACGTATACGAGGCGTTTCTTTCTAACAGGCACACATTTTAACATCTGCGGAAAGCTTGTGCTTTTTTAAAATGGTTAAACGTCAATTTTTGATTATTTTAAAGACTATAAAAGTCACTTAAAGACCTTGATAGTTTTCAAAATCAAAGTCGTTTTGGAAACATTTCCAAATGGTTTCATAAAAATATTTTTAAAATGTATTCAATTATATACATTACTATTTTCTAACTTGCAAAATATGAACGGAACGGCACAAATATTTTCCATTATTTGGAAGAGGCGTACCAACGAGTTGGAATATCTATGCTGTCTTCCTTAAATCCCCCATAAATAAGGTCTAATTATTTCTTAAGCATTCGTTTCTTAATGATTAGAATAATAAGTTTCTGAAACCAACTTGTTCCTGGTGTGCTATTAGGATTGAATTTTGAATGAGTCTGCTTTGCTCAAACTTTTGCTGAAGCAAAAGATGAACTCTTTTCAAGAAACTGCTTAAAAATCTTTAAAAGCGCATCGGTTAAGTCTCTTATTCACTCCTAACTATACATGCTGCATAGAGAACTACCCCATTTTTGAGCCTACGCAAAGGAGGATCGCAATACGTGTATTCCCAAATTAAAAGCTCCTCCTTTTCAGGTCTACGAGGGTGAAAATATGGTTTGCGCGGATAGGGAGAAGTTCTTTCCGGAGCCCAAGTACCAGAAATCGGTCGGTGGCGGGCGATGGCACACCAACATCCAGGTCGGAGAGCCGATGAGTCAGCCGGAGATCGATCAGTTTGAGGCGGATTGGGCTAAAGTCTACAAGAATAATACAGGATCCACCGCGGGAAAAAAGGGACAGAACCTGGAGGGGACCAATTCGATGAATGCTCGCGGGACAGCAAGACTTGCTGCTGCTAATAGGCTTATGAGGCGGCGATCTTCCCGGGGAAGTGAATCTTCCAGTTGGTGGTAACAACACGAACGGCCGTGCATCATAGCCAAAAATATATGTTTTACTGAAACCGCATAGTGTAAAAGCCACTTTTTCACCTTTCAGAATATTGTTGTATTTTAATTATAAGGTTCTTAACTGTTTGTATATTTACAAACATAGTATCCACTAGTCCAAAATTGTATATTGTTTATCTAATTACTTGTTTTCTCTTTGTGTAAACTAGCTCGAACAACCCTGCCACGATTTCGGTAGGACAAACTTATAAAATTCAACTGAATCCAAATCCTGCCTTTAAGAACCAACGCTGTGTTCAATTTAACGCTCAGATTCGGCTGTCTTATGATCTCTATTCAATGTCTTTGCTTGTGATCCAGAGTTGAACAACCGGTTCAGCAATCCTAACTTCACAAACTGTTACAGCAGTAGACGCATGGGTCATTTAGACAGAAAGTTGGTGATGTAGCCAATGTGAGTTAAAAATCTGCACGAATATGAAAATGACAATACAAAGGGAAAAAGCTCATATGAGCACAATTTTCCATCAAACAGATGTGGTGTTTGGTGCGTTACTAGTGATCGTAACTAGTGTTGCACCTAACAGCACATCTGTTGGAGAGAAAACTCTGTCCATATGAGATGTTTTCTTGTATTGAGATTTTCAGCTCTATGCTGATTTTTAACATACGTCGGCTACATCATCTTCTTTCTGTCAAAATCGTAACTTCATTTACAAAACCTCGCGAAGTTTTTACCCCGACATTCATCCGGCGTCTTTCATTGGAAGATGTAGTCTCTTAGATCTAGCGTCTAGACTCGTAAAACGATTGACAAGAAAAATTCCCTTTTTCAATCGAATTCTTGCTTGAATCAGAAGGATATCCGGTTACTAATAGACTTGGCCCTCGATTCAAGCCAAAATCCGATTAAGTCACGAGTATTTTTTCTTGTCAAATTTCTTTAGAGTCTGGACTTAGGATCGAAGAGACACTTCTTTCCAGTGTTAGGCGAACAATAGCGTTGACCACGAGATCAACTTTTGCCTTTCCTCGTATACATCATTGTTCAGATCGTTGTTGCAGGGTTTCTAAAATATATTATCCACGCAAGGACGATGGCTTTAAATAGCTGTGATAGAATGTCCGTCAAAGTGCGAGAATGGATCCACATAGGCACACACAAATATTCCTCTCCAAGTTTCATTTTCATATTAAAGTAATTAATCATAGCAAAATTTTGTCATCGTAAAATATAAGCTTTGAAATCACAATGAAAACCCTTTATAAGCATATTATTCTTGTGTTTTGATTTAACTTTCCGTAACTTAAAACTTAAGCAAAAAAATATAAATGGGTCACGGATAGGTTTAGAAATTAAGATGCATAATACATTATTCCACTCCGAAAAACGTAAGAATACGATGAACTCGAATTTCTTCCATGAAATTATTATCAGAAGATTAGAAGATGTTTCCTCTGTATGGATTCTGTTTTTGACGTAAAAAAAGAGACATGCTATCAAGAGAGACATCGTGTCGCAAAAAATGGGATCGAATTGCTCCTTCACAATTTTCACGAGTTAAGGACTATTATTAATTTCACTGAAAGAAGGGTCAGCCACGCAGAACAATGTTTCCCCATGCACGATCAGACATAATCATTTGCAACTGCATCTGACCCCTAAAATTGGCTGCTTTTCCTCCTGACTTCTCATAGTATCTTTTATATGTTTTTTTGGACATAAGACACTTTACTTCAGCCCCTGGAGACCTAAAACAGGTTCAAAAGTTCACAGTAGTAAACTACATTCCGAACTGAAACGATTGATACTAAAATCAGGTCTCGAAACAACGTATAAACTTGGTTTAGGTTAGAAAAACACAGAGCCGATCAAAACACGTCTTTTCCGGGTAAACCACACCTTATCAGTCCGGCTTCAGCAATATACTTTCCTAGACAGGCATCTGGAGAAGCATCAAATATTGTGTGTTTCGTTTTTAAAATCACTCCTCCTCTAATCATTTTTTCATATTTGAATCGATTTTTAACGGCGTTCAAAACTATTCGGCTCTAGGTCACGACCCCTTTGTCATGGCCTTCTTGTCCTTCAAAGGGACCGCGCCTAGAATCAGATTAATGAGGCTAATGCCTCCAGAACTTCTTGAAGCTTGCTGAATATTTGAACCTGTGACTCTACTTTGTCTCACTTCAAATTAGAGGCCTGATTTCAACTGCCCAGCTGATGCAGCCACCAAAGCCTCACATTCAGCATCGGTCATTGAATTTTCACAAAATTCAATGCAATCGTCAGGTCTGTGAGGCTCTGAAGTCTACACATACCTCAGCATGAAGTGAAACAAGGCATACGTGGATTGCTCTGCACAGTGGCTTCTTAAAATTGAGGGGCTGGATTTCTTTAAAACTTCAATGGAGGCGTTGAAAAATTCTTTTTTACCTCCTCCGACAGCGTCACAGTTGAGGGTGGATGAATCTCTTCGATTCTCAACGCTTTCATGGAGCCGCCAACTTTAGACAGAGTTGAATTTCGCCCGTAGCATTCCACTGATGTTCTTGACGGAGTCTCGCTTTTTCGGTGCATCCAACAAACAAACGCTACTACATGTTTGCAACCATCTAAAATATTAATAAGGCTTGATTTGAACAACACCATTTTATTTGTATTTGAATGAGAACCAAGGTGTTGTATTGAACACAATACAGCTTTTACCTACTGGAGTGTTCTTACCTCATGCAGTAAAAAGGAAAACATCCTAACTTCGGCAAGGGGCCTTGTTAGTTTACCTTCACTAGCGGGGCAATTCACACAAATTCATGAGGATTTTCATTTTTCTCTCATCGATGAGACAATGAACAGGTTATGGTTCAATTCGCACCTTGTGCTCAGGTGTCATATTGGCTTTGACATGGGAGAGCCAGGAAATGGTTTCGTCCTTGGTGTCTTTGGGGATTACTCTCTTAACATGAACATAGCCAATGGTATTATTGGAATAAGAATCTCCGGCAGATTTGAGAGGAAAAGATGAACAAATTGATGGGATGAGTGAGGCGTTATGGAATATTTAAAGTTGATGGTGTCTTGAATTTTCTTGTAATGATGAAGTTCATAATTTTTCAGTGTGTTTCGGTACTTATCATAAGTTACAGACCTGAGAGGAAATGCTGAAAACCTTGCTGATGATATAACATCTAAAACAGTGAAAGAGCGGACTCACTTGACCCATTCCAATTGAATTGTCAAAATCAGCTGGCTTATAAGGAGCCAGTTTTGCAAAAAAATTACCAAATCATGAATAGTGGATGTTTCCCAGAATTTGATGCTTAAGTGTCCTCGTCAAGATACCTGTAAATAGAGAATTAACATCTATCCCACACTACGTGGCAGGAACATTTCTTGCAACAATCATCGGCTGTAAGTCTCAGGTTCAATACCTGTAATAAAAAAAATTTATAGTTTAGCAAGAGACATGAGCTTTATAATGACTAAGCCATGCGCTGATGAATTTAAAACAGAGGAGGCTGATGATAAATTTTTCTTCTTGATTGAGAGGGTTTCCTTATTTTAGAATTAGAAATAGGTAAACAAGCTCACTGATTAATACATTGATTTTTGACGTTTCTTATTAGAAACGTTGCCGGATCCGTTGCCCTCCCTCTTCAGCGGCGATAAAGTGACTTGCCTAAGCACCAACTAGTTGCTCGGGAGAGAAAACATTTCTCTTGAAAACAACTACTAAATGCAGAGGAGAGAAATGTTTTCTCTCCTAAGCAACTAGTTTGTGCTTAAGAGAGAAATGTATCCTCTCCTAAGCACCATCTTTTTGCTCCGGAAACAAAACATCTTTTCCACGAGCAACTACTTAATGTTGCTTCGCAGAACGCGGTCGAATAGTGTGCACCGTGAAACACGGTGATGTTCACTTTAGTATGCGCAGTGTAGGTAATTTGCACTACGAATCTTATGCGTAACGGTGTAGCGTTTGAAGTATCTACACGATGTTGAAGGCGTAATGTCGGGTGCGCGTTTTTGATTGCCCGCGATAATTCGATTCGCCGCGTCAGTGGTTTTAAATTATTAGAAGTGCATCCTTCAATGTGAAATCTCCGAAAGTGCTTTGAATTTGATGAATAATGTATGAACTGCTCCAACACCAATTTGTGTGCGTGTAACTGCAGCTGCGCTTATTTTGTTTCGACGTATTTCTGCCAATCGGAACTACGTGCCTAAAGACGTGAGCCCTGAGAACCTTTCCTGAGAATGAAGTTGTTCAGGACAGAAAACATCTCTACCTTGAGCAACTGGTTCATGTCTAGGCGAGGAAGTATTCCTCTCCTCTCCACTGGCTGGTTGTGTAGGTGAGAAACTTTTGTTACCCTAAATCCCTCTATAATCGTATCAGGGAACAACCTCCCACTCCGAGGAAGGATTATTCGACCTTTGTATCAAAACTACGCGCGGTAGGGAGGACACGGCGCCATTATTTGGAATCTGCACACCATGTTCTCACCCGACTACGTTCCCGCTGTTAGACCTCGTGCCACCCTTAGAGAATCTGCTGCCCCGAATTTGGGTACGCGAATAGTGGAATGTTTTCTCTCCTAAGCACCAACTGAACTAGTTGTTCCGGAGAGAAAGCATATCTCTCCTTTGCATCGAATGGTTGTTTACGAGAGAAATGTTTTCTCTTCCGAGCAACTATTTAGTGCTGAGAAACGGAAACATTCCTCTCTTAAGTACCAACTAGTTGTTCAGGTGAGAAAAAATTTCTCTTCCGTGCAACTAGTTTGTGCTTAGGAAAGTCGTACTATCACTGCTGAAGAAAGAGGGTAGCGGACCCTCCGAAACGTCTTCCGGACAAATAATTAAGTAAGGAAAGTTTGAGTTTTTAAATTGTTAGCGATTTTATTCTTAATTCAAGAATAAAATCGCATTGTAAATCTTTCCTTGTTTTTAAGCCTTATTTGCACTACTATTTGAACGGGCAAGGTAGTAATTTTTGCGATGAATAGGTATGTCTGTTGAGTCTATAAGTTGTGAGTCATTTCTCTAAAAAAATTTACCTTATCCTGTCCCCGCCAAACCTCAGTTGGATTTTGTTTGCATAGCTCATTCCTCAAGCACCTTTACATATCATGGGTAAAGTAGAGATAAAGAAAGGGAATCGGGACTCGAACAGTATGACTCCTAAAAAGTGTTAAAGAGCGAACCCTATTCGATTTGTGAAATAAGAAATAAGTTGGGATGAGATAATGGAACAACAACGATTTTAGTAGATGGTGGACGTTTTGATTGAGGGCACTTTTTTGGGGGGAAAATTGAGCGAAATTTCTTGGAATGGACGCATTACTCATAACGTTTTGCTCTACAATCACAGAAATAATTTAAACTTTTTATTTTTTTGAGTCTCTCCACCTCCTTTGTTTCCAAATTCACTGTGTCGAGTTCATCTTGTTTGTTCAAGCACTCACTAAGTTTTTTTCTCTCCTGTCAATCAAAATCAAGCTCACCGTTGCTTTATCATATTAAATTGCTCTGTGATAAATGCTTAAACACGAAGAGCAGTTTGTATACCTTTTCAATCTTGCAACAGAGACAAAACTACTTAAACCCATCGCATCGCCAAGGCTACGCATCGGGGAAGAAAATGTCCTTTCATCCCATGAACATGTGGACGTGTTTATGCTGAAAGGAACTATGTGCCGAAGGTATGCGTGAGACATACTTCCTTTTGGCATTAGCACGTTCATGTAAGGCGCGATACACGCAATCCACAGTCTGCCGTAGTTAATGCACTTTTTCTTCTATTAATTTAGTTTTTATATTTCCGAGAAAATGGGAATCCATTTACGTTCGATCTTTCAGAGGAGTCAGAGCCTTTAACGTGCAAAGTGCGACTCACGCTAACCATTTCCTTCCAGCGTCAAAGCACTTTTTCTTCCATCAATTTATTCCCGAACTTTTCCTGGAAAATTTGAATCAATCCACGTGTGATCTTGCAGATGATTTAGATTCTACCAACGCACAATCGGCCTACAAATAGGCGGTCATTTTTCAATATCTCTTAGTGTTATACCTAGGGCTGAAAGATGGCGGCTTTACCGTCGCATGTTACAGTTTTATTTTTCGGTATCGTCTTCCTGGTGAGTCGCTCTTTTTTAGCAGTTTAGTCCTAAATCTGTATTTTCCGGACATTTTTCGAGGAAAGTTTATAATATCAAGGTCTCTTATTTAACATGAGTCTCCCTGGGAGCATAAGTACTTCGGTATTTCCATATCTTCGAGGAAACTTCAACGCACCTGATGTGTATTTATAATTATCGTCTACCATTCGGTGGATCAATCTTCTCTTAGCCGAAGTTAAGCCAATCTCTCCCTAATGATCCTCAAAATCTTATGACAGTCATATTTAGAACGGTATCGTTTCGTGCTAACGCACTGCACATAAAAAGTTACCCCGGTTTTTTGCCCAGCAACCCATGGAAAATCGTCACGACCGTCGATATCTGCGTAAAACACTTTATTACCGTCACGGCTTTCACTAAGTACGTAAAAAGTATTGAACTTTCTCCGTAATTTTACTGGACCTTGGTGAAAACGCTAATATTTTTATCGACTATGGTAGAATAACCGAGATGAAATGGCAAAGTTACCGGGAATAGATTACCAATAAAAGTGGTATTCTTACGTGAAATAACAGTAAAAATACCGGTTTTTAGGTAAGTTTACCAGTTTGTCTTGGTCAAATTACCAATAATTGGTAAAAAAGTGAGATGGTAAAGGTACCAACGGACCTTGCTATAAACGCCGAGAATTTTTTTCAGTGTGCTTGCGGAAGGGAACTTAACCGACCCTTCACATCAATACATCGATGCAATGTTTCGTTCGTATGTAGCCTTCTGAAGGTAAACTGTTGGTCAAAGTTGAGCAATAACTATTTTTTCTCAACATTGACATCAACATTTCCATTAATGAAATCGACCATTTTTCCGTATCGACAGAACTCTTCAGTATCATGATGTTTACTTGGGCTGAACTATAGGAAGTTTCGGATGACAGGACACAAGGCAAGTTGTGAACTAAAGTATTGTGATATGTGTTTTCTCTTCAAAATTTCATGTAAAAAACAATTTAACGAAAGCCATGTTTTTTAGGATGAAGGACTAAACTAAAAAATCCGCATGGGAAGCGAGAAAGTAAAAATACGGAAAACGAATAAAAAGAAGTGTGAAGCCTGTAAATACTCTGGACATACTTCTTTTTAACACGAATAGTCCACTTCTCAGCCTATCTTATGGTCTATGTTCCTAGGTAATGTGAGCGAGAAATCTCGCTATTTTGTGCCGAAAAGAACTTCATAATCGGACGTATATGTGGCAATCGGAATCGGAGACAGGAGGGAAAGAAGTGTTCAGCTGCCGAAGTTCAGGTCAGACATCCGAAACTTCAGTTCTTACATTTGAAGTACTTTAGTTCTTACATCTGAAGTACTTCAGTTCTTTCACTTCGGATGTGAGAACCGAAGTTTTTCGGATGTGGAAACCGAAGTACTTCAGATGTAAGAACTGAAGTTTCATATGTGTGATCCGAACCTCGAAAGCTAGACCTTAAGGGTGCAGATGCTCAATCTGAAAACGTCAGAGATCCATATGACCTAAACTTCGGGTCCCACGCACGAGGTTTTTTTTCTCCGTGCAGAAATACGTCCAACTGTTATATCGTGATCGTGTACATTACAGGTGGTGCACAGCCCCCTCGCAAGTGCTGTGGAGCCAAGGGAGGGAGTGAAAGTCGACCCGAACCTCCTCAACCCCCAAGACGCAGAAACGGAGAACGAGAATCATTCACTTCGAAGCAGAGGCCTATTTGACTTGTTCGGCTTTGGAGGTTTCTTCAGCGACCCCGACGAAGACGGCTGGAACATCGGCCGTGTAACCGACACCGGCGATACTGTCGTCAATTTCGGGGACACGAGCTTCCAGTGGGATTCCAACGGCCTCATCATTCATGCCCTCGACGCTCATCGAGATATCCTCGTGAAGGCTAACAAGGTCAGTTTTCTCGAGATTGTACGACGAACGCGATGAAGCGGAGCTTGCCTGTTTCAATCGAAATCACATCTTCCGGGGGTGCAGGCCAAGCGCCCATCATCCAATTGCAAGGGGAAAATGCAATTACTTTCACAATGGAGATGTTGCATGTGTGAGGGATTTGCGATTTGACCATTGATTCGTATGTAAAAGTTCGCTAGAAACACGATGGTGCCACTGGTTTTCTCTGAAATCAACTCTCAAGCTCAAAAAAAGCTCTCAAGTTGAGGCCAAAATGGAGGGGATATCCCACGCTATCCTGAGAGTCCACCTCCACGTCAAGACAAACTTTCCATGCAAAGATAGGGAGCAAATACATTGACAGGGCTGCCACTTTATTTGGGGACTCTAAAACTGAAAACTGTTGGCGAAAAGCGTCAGCTGTTTTGTAAAGTTTTGATTCCTCCAGTTTTCCATTTCTCAGTTTCAGTTCGGTATGATACCTTGCCCATAAAGGTGATCTAAAAGCGTCCTCCGAGTGTTATTTCTTTCCATACCACCTTTAGCTTTTACCTTTAGCCTTTAGGTTGGTAGATTTAGGCAGCATTCGATTATTCTTGGGAATTAAATTCGAAAGAGGTAATGAAGAGATAACCATGAGTCAATGCGCTTACATTGACGCAGTCCTTAAAAAATTCAACATGAGTGATTGCAATCCTATTAGCAACCCTCTTCCGAGCAAATTAAACTTCGAAGCTCTCAATTCAGACGAAAGGTGCGACGCGCCTTGCCAAAGCCTTATTGGATGTCTCATGTATATAATGCTGAGTACTCGACCCGATTTAAGCACTGCAGTAAATATTTTGAGTCGATTCGCTAGTAAAAATAACAAGGAGCTATGGCAGTGTTTAAAACGAGTCCTGAGATATTTGAAAGGATCTCGTGCTTTGAAACTTACGTATAAACGAAATAATGATCATGAGCATATTCTAAGTGGATTCGTTGATTCTGATTGGGCAGGAGATTCAACGGACAGGAAAAGTACCACTGGGTTTTTCTTCAAACTGTTTGGTGTGTGCACCGTTAGTTGGAATACAAAGAAACAGAAATCTGTTGCTGCTTCGTCTACAGAGGCAGAATACATGGCCCTATTTGAAGGGGTTAGGGAAGCTCTCTGGTTGAAGTCATTACTGCATAGCGTAAATTTGGCAATACAACGGCCAATCCCTATCTATGAGGATAATAACGGTTGTATTAGCATTGCTAACAACCCGTCTAGTCATAAAAGATCGAAACACATCGATATTAAATATCACTTTTCCCGAGAGCAAGTTGAAGAAAATACTATTATCCTTCATCATTTGTCCACAGGTGATCAGCCAGCAGATCTGCTCACGAAGCCTCTACCAACTCCGACCTTCTTGAAATTCAGAGCTGAATTTGGGCTCCAATCAGCCAGTACCGAGTGAGAGATTTGATGAGGTTTTCATCTGGGTTTCCCTCATCCTTGCAACGAATGTTGAATCTATTTTCTTTTCTTCCCAGATATTAGATAAAGTTAATTTTTTTTTTAAACGTTTTAAACCCCCCCCCCCAAAAAAAAAAAAAAAAAAAAAAAGAGTCAAATTTACATTTCATTTTTCAATGTCAAAATTTAATCCCCAAGTTAAATTTTGAGGGGGCGTGTTGGCGAAAAGCGTCAGCTGTTTTGTAAAGTTTTGATTCCTCCAGTTTTCCATTTCTCAGTTTCAGTTCGGTATGATACCTTGCCCATAAAGGTGATCTAAAAGCGTCCTCCGAGTGTTATTTCTTTCCATACCACCTTTAGCTTTTACCTTTAGCCTTTAAAAACACGGCAACCCTGCAAATGTATTTGCTCCCTATCTTTGCATGGAGAGTTTGTTCTGATGTAGAGGTGGACTCTCAGGGTGGAGTGGGATATCCCCTCCATTTTGGCCTCACTTTGAGAGCTTTTTCTTAGCTTGGTCTGAGATGATTTCAGAGAAAACCAGTGGCACCATCGTGTTTCTCGCAACCTTTTACATAATAATCAATTGTCAAATCGCAAATCCCTCGCACATGCAAAACATCTCCATTGTAGCTTGACTGTGAGTCGTTGTACAACAGACATTAACATACGCAAAAAATCTATCGTAGTCTGTCTAAACTTCGCCTAAAGAAGCTTCGGATAGTTTTTTGCTCATTTGCACGTAAATAGTACGAGGAACTAATGAGGCAACATCTCTACGGAGACCGCGGCAGCGAAGATTCTTTGAATTTTAAAATATGACATGGAATGATTTTGCCGGCACTACTGCGAACAAATAGCTCGCGTAAGTCTGGGTCACGTAAACATCCGCGCGAAGTTTCCGTTTAGGGGTAAGGATTTTCCCCTCAGATGATCCCTCAAGAAACTCTTATCCGCGATGGATATCTCCTCTTGTTGGGGATGGTCGAGGGCCTGCAGATTAGGGGGAGGGGGGAACTCAGGCAGCGTTTTCCGTTGTTCATGATGCGAAATACTTCAGTCGGAGAAAAAGGAGTCATCTCCAGAAACCCTTATCCGCGACGGATATCTCCTCTTGTTGGGGATGGTCGAGGTCCTGCGGATTGGAGGGGGGGGGGGCAACAGATAGCGGATTCCGAACACTATTAATCGGGCGCGAGATTGTGGTCTAGTTTACATTTCGAGAAGTTCACGTTTTCATTTTCATCTTTTGTGTACACTTTTCTTGAACAATTATTTTTTACCTCTCTCCAAGTTTTCTCACTACTTTTGGCAGTGAGACGTTTACCACTAATTGCGGTTTGCCGCGAACACTGATTTCCATATCCATCGCCAGTTAACGCGCGCGGTTAATCTTTACTTTCAGTACCAAAAACTTTCAAATTGGTACATTCAACACATCTGGTTTTCCTAAGCTTTAACTCTCTTTGGACGCGATTTGAGGCTTCCGTGATGAAAATTTTAGAAGACGCTAATTGGCGTTTACATTTAAGACTTTGCATTAAAAGAGACACTCATCCTCGACGAAGGTTATTTCCCACCATCCAGAATTTTGGGGAGGGAGGGAAGCTGATACTATTCTAAGTTATCTGATCGTTGAAATGGATAGACAAAGCTATATTCTTAGAAAACATAGAAAGTATGGAGCAATTCCATTGGTTGAAACAGTTGGTGCCTATAGAATAAGGGAGAAAATGTTGGACTAACTGTAGGGTCTCTCGTGGGCTGCCCTTAGTTAGTCCATTAACTATACCTTCTTTGTCCATAGCTACCATCAGCTTCTATCAATAGAATCCCTCCATATCCCTTTTGTCTTCTTCGTGTATAGCTTTGTCTGTGAAGTTCAACTATCAGCCCGCAGGCCCCCCGGTACCCCTTTGTATTAGCCCGTGGTACCTGATTCTTGAAATCAAATTAAACGTAGCTTGTTTCCAGATCTATCTTGGTAACAAACTAGTCGCGGACACGAAGAAGAAGGCCCTTACACCGACCTATCAGATAACACCCGACGGTGCAAGATGGTACACCAACGCCAAACTCCTGGGCGGACGGAAGATGAGCAAGGCGGAGGAGAACCGATTCGATAAAGACTGGGCGAAGCAGACCGGAGGATCGAAGTCCCAATCCGCAAGAAGTGCCCCCATGTCATCACAGCCAGAAAGTCCTTCCAGTTGGTGGTGGTAACTTTCTTCGACCCTTATCGTTCTCTCCCAGTTGTGTACACTGTGAATCAGGTCTCTCATAATTCTCTGCTTTAAGATTTTTCGTTTTCAAGTAACTGATAAGAGCGTCTTATCAGCTGCAGTTCAAAGAATGTGTGTCGTTACAAGTCTTATCAATAAACATCATCATTTCAGCAAGTGTTTCTTGTTTTATGACTCCCCCATAGCGCTTATATTATCATCACTGATCGCTTCCCCTTCATTTACTCTCCCTCCTTTTACTGCGAATCTGAACTGATGATTGTAAAATTTACTGTAGGAGTTGCCTTCACTTAGTCGTGGTAACTTTTGTCGACGATTATCTTTCACCCTGACGCCAATTAGACGGATTTCTCCTTAATGAAACCAGTGACAGGTGGGGTAAAAGGGGTGCGCTCGTCAGTCGAGGGCCGTAAAAATGAACGGGAATTATAAAGCGCCAGTGACGTCAGCGGTGACAGATTCGGTATCCGGATCGGCGTCAAGAGTCTCTCACTCATGAGCCCTGTCCTTAACGCTCTTGTCACACGTTCATGGTTCATGAGTGCCGCATTCAGTTGGCTTATACAGGGTTATTCAAAAGTTACGCACCACTGGCCATAACTTTAGTTCTAATTATGATATCGATTTGCGCGGTTTAAGACGTTTCTCCTCATATCGAATATCGAGGGGGAGACTGTTTAAGGAACTTTCCAGTTTTTGTTCCCCTCGGGGAAAGGGGGCGGGGGGCAACTCAAAAATTTCAAATGGCCACCCCATCCCCCTCATGGCCAGTGGTGCGTGACTTTTGAATAACCCTGTATATAGTTCCGTTTGGTAGAATTTAAAATCCCGCTTTTCCATCTCTCGAAAGGGAATCACTCCCACTTTAACATTGTTTCTGAAACAGCTTCAACGAGCACATCTCATCTATCCCACTCGTCTACAGCTCTGTTTAGCAAAAATACGTCCGATTAAAGTTCATTTGCTAAAGAACCGAACTATTTTCATTGCGCAGACAGAACGTTCTTCCTTCAACTTTTTTCAGAATTGCCTTCATGGCTGTTCGAGGTGTAAATTTCAATTCTATTCTGTTAAAGTCGGTCATCCAGATTCCGATCGATTTTAGAAAAGTATCCGTTTCTCCATCACTCATTTTCTAATCTATTTATTTATTTTTGTTAAATTTTAAATACGATACCCCTTGGTAAAAATTGGCAGTAGAATCTGTGTTCCAAAATACCATAGACTTACAGCCGGCTGTAAGATTTCCAATAGCTTCTGTATGGAGCAAAATGTATGTTTTTTTCGAAATTTGGTCAAATCTTTAGGTGTAAATACGTCTAAATCCTCCGCTTCCAGTGAATTGTGTATAATTTCCCGCGGAGGCTCACAGATGTGTGCATCGTCAGTGGCTCGAATCTTCACTCCGTTACTGAATTTTTCTCTACGCAGGTCAGAGTCACTTTTCTCAACGTGATTATGGTCCGATGGCTCCCCGAGGAGGTTTTTAAACTCGTTAACTTTAAGTAACTTTTACATTTACTATTTGCACAGCACCACCGCTTAACGTTTTTGCTCAGTTTTTTATAGAAACGGAATTTATAATTGTTAATCACTAATAACTGTATGCCTTTTGAACTGAACATATGCTCCATCGCTGCTCCGATGCTGCGTCAGACTGATTACTGATTACTGATTTGGTGTGTAAACAACAGCTATCATCACACGGCCGAATTACTGGGAATCTGATAAGACGTGAGACATTTCATCGCTTACATAGTTGCCAAACTAGCAAACTTCCTGATTCAATGCCGATGACGCGGGACTTAATTAGGTTGGAACATAAATGCATTGGGACCCAAGTCGGATCTCCTTAATTGACCGCGGGACCCAAGTCGGATATTTTTTTGGAGAACGGGCCCCAAGTCGGAAACTGCGTTATATATCCAGCTACACACTTTCTTAAAGCCTTTTATAGCCGATGGCGATTAAGCAACAGCCAGGCGATAAAGTGTATGCTAAACTTTATTACTTACGGATGCTAGGACTTAGTGAGTTTTTGGAATACTGCTCTCTTTTTGGGCCGTAGTATCTTGATTTATTTTGCGAGGAAAGCTCCGTACTTTTGATGGATGCCTGCCATGCATTACTAATATATTAGAGCGCCTTCAGTTTCGTATGATACTGTGCAATACCTCCGGTGTGAAATAGTTGCATCAAGCGCGCCGTGGCAGGCGGGCAGCCAGCGCGAAACACGCACTGGCGCCTACAAACCTAACAGGGATACTTCACCCGTTGCGCAATGCGTGAAGTATCCCTGTTAGGTTTGTAGGCGCCAGTGCGTCGCCGCTCCGCTTTATGTTAGGCTCTAATATTTAATCTGGCGCAGTCAGCGTTATTCAACTCATGATTTTGAAATGCTTGCACATCCTGTATGGATTATTCTCATTTGAATTGATGAAAAAAAATATGTATTAAAGGAAAATATAATGTGTGTTTTGTAAATATTAAGGTGGTTCCGTATCGAACTTAATGATTTCCAAAGCACACGAATTTCCACACAATTTCTTACAGCCTTTTAAAATCGATGGCGAAAAAGCAACAGCCAGGCGATAAAGTGTGAAGCCCGGCGATAGGAACTATAGCCCGGCTGCATAATTTCTTATCGCTTCGTATAGCCCGGCCGTATGATTTTCTCCGCATTCTACAGTCAGCTATATGATTTTCTGTAGCCTTCTTTAGCCGGCTATAAGAATTCCTATGGTATTTTGAAACGCAGCTCTTATCGCCAATTTTTACCGGGGCCTGACTGCATAGTCAGTCTCAACCTGAGACATGAAGCGAACCTAGCCCTGAAAAATTACAATTTTACCCCGCATCTAAAACTACGAGATGACACAGAATCGGCGGAAATTTTATGACGATTATTGGAAAGTTCAAGAGTAAAATTTAGGAAATATAAATCAGTGGAACCTTTAAAAGGATGACTCATACCTTTTTGTACGTCAATCGGGGCTCTCGTTCCGCAAAAACGGGAATATTTTTTAAACCTGTTTTTTAGAGGATTCATAGTGCAGACTTTCCTCTTGCTTTCACATGCTCATAAAGATATTTTTTCCTCATTCACTTGAAACCAAATCTAACATCCATTGTTTTTCCGACCAAGAAACGTAAGTGCATTCTAAAGTTGCAACATTTACCGAAACATCTTAATTTTTTACAAGATAGCGACCGTCCAATGTACATCCAAATATGCCGATTCCTATGTTCAATCTTAAGAAAATTATTTGACTTTTTGTGAGGTTCCCCTTATGGTTTCATGGTTAAAATATGATGAACATGTGGAAGTTTTACAACGTTTAAATGTAGCTACGTTAATGACGTATTCTCGCTTCCTATCCTCTCGACCCCCCATTCTATTTTACCCCTTGATTACGCAGCCAAGAGCGACCTAAAAAACCTTTGGAGGTAGACAACGTCACGAAAACTCTTCGCTGGCAAAGGTCATGGCCGATATAAGGATCTACGTATACCGTTGAACCCACTAGAAGTGTTCGGAACTTGTCGCTGTGGCACGGGCAACATACCATGTAAAACCGCCAACGCACATTTTTTCGTTGATTGGTGATTTTGGTTTTTCTTAACAAATTAAAATAGCTCTAAGTTTATTATTGACGCACGGTTGGTCTGCAGCTACGCGGGCAGTTTCATCGAGTTCTGGGTGTTCCATCGCGACCCGGGAGATGTCTTCTATGTCACTTGTTTTGGTCTTCCTCTCCGGAGCTGTTTTGCTGGTGGGTATTCCTTTTTTGTGCAAACACATATAAAAGCGTATACTCAAACCTATTTCTATATAAGTTTTGTCGTTGTGTTCATTTATTAATTTCTCTCTTTCTTTCTTTTTGAGAATCTCTCTCTTTCCTATCGAGTGAAGTTAGCGACCTAAAGCTAATCCTGAAGGTGGATTTTCAGTCTTCGGAGAATGATTCGCTAGATGATCAACGTATCCAACTTAATTTTTGGATCCAAGGACGTTTTCATTTTGGAGCTACGTGATGTATTCATTCGCTGGATTTGACAGGAAAACGCCTTGAAATAACTCCGCCAGTATGCTCAATAAGAGATCTTAAATCGTGTTTTCTTTTGATTTGCTATGTACGAGCACCACTCTAAGTATCACACAGTCAAATCTAGTGTTTAAATGCATACAATTTGACGTGAGGTTCAGTGGTCTTTTAAAAAGTATCCCTAAATCTTGACTGTATCAATTGTTGCCGATCTACTTTTAAATCTTCTTCCGTAAAGCTAGATTATCCTTCTTTAAGAAAATACGAAATGTTTCACGGATCTCAAAACCACACAATTTAAAAGATATCTTCAAATCGAATGAATCAAAATGTTTGTACGTGAATTCAAGCAGGGGCAGCTGTTAATGGCTCGAATCAGTGAACAGTATTGTATTGCAACAATTTCAACGCATAGCAACTATTCGTGCTCTCCGGATGTGCTCATTGCCTACACAGGTAATTGCAGGCGTTTTGGGGGGTGTTCAAGCCTACACACAACTTTTAAACATTTACATTTTACATTTACATTTACTAACGGCGCTACAGCCTTGGGTGGGCTTTCACCTCCATAACGATTCCCCTCCACACTCATCTATCTTTGATTTTTTCACTTCATCCTTTTATTTGCATTTTCTTCAGGTCTTGCTCAACTCCGTGTAGCCACCAAAGCCCAGCTAGGTCTTCCTCTCTTTCTTGCTGGCAATATTTTAGCTTTCAGCACCTTTATCGGCATCCTTTCTTCTTCCATTCTTTGTACACGACCAATTGACCAAGCCAGCTTATCCTTTGCGATTTGTTAAACCTTACGATATCTTCATTTTCTAGGATCATTTATATTTCTTTATTGCTTCTAATTTGTCATTCTTCATTGATTTTCACCGCTTCATAAATTCTTCGAATAATTTTTCGTTCAAATCGCTTCAGCATGTGCTGGTCTCCTCCTGTCATGGTCCAGGTTTCACCACCATACGTTTCTACTGGTCTTATTAACGTTTTTTAAATTTGCATTTTTGTTCTCCTGGACAACAATTTGCTCTTAAGCATCTTCAGGTTTTTCGTAATAGGGTCGGTTTTCAGCCTGTATCCTATCTTTAATTCCTGTCGTTGTTTTTGCTTCGCTATCCAACATATTGCCGAGATACTTGAATTTTTCGACGCCTTCAAATTCCTTCTGGTCTATGAAACGTCTTCACATTCCTTTTGGTCTAGGAACTTTTGAACCTTCTGCTTTATTTATTGTTCGTATTTTACCGGCTATGACACATTTCCATAGTATTTCGAACGAGATTCACGGCTTTATGTCATATTCACATTCGTTCCTCCGTAAGCTCCCCTTCCTAGGAGGGTCCCGTAATGTTCTCATTGTAATTCGGAAGGCCATTACATAGCATCGTCAAAGGAACTCTTTACAAGTCTTGAGTAAAATATTTAAGTGTAATATTTGAAAATAGATCTTTGCGAGGAATATCAATTATTTGACACTACCCGAAATATGTTGTTTGTGTAGGTCTATTACTGCGATAATTTTAAAGTCGTTCGTCGATCTTACCTCCAAACTTTAAATAATTATAATAGTTTTTCTTTTATATTTATTGTTAGGGGAAATTCTTTGCAATTTTCCGCGAAGACTTACTTACACTCAAAAAGAGGTATGACTCCGAGACCCATAAAGTGTAGCTCGGAGATCCATAATTTCTAATCAAAGTGACTTACCGTCTACAGTATGGCTTTCTGAGCCATACGTTTTTGGTCGTGAACCTATAAGCATGGCTCCACGAACTATATATTTTATGGCTCCATGATCCATAACTCGGCCGGCAAGTCACTCTTCCCATACTTGTTTTTTGAGTGACAATTTTTTTTTTTTTTTTGTGAAAATTTCATTGGAGAAAAAATGTCATTTATATGATACCACTTCGAATCGAATACCTTCTTAATCGCAATGTGAATGACAGTAAATCTGTGAACAAGCATGCCTTGTTTATGAGGTAAGGGACTGTTCAAAGAGCACAACCATCAATTCAATCCTTAATTTTTTATTGAAACAAAAAACCGCATAAACTGTTCCATTATCTTTACGTTATAGTCGACGTCCACTGTGCTGGTAAACGCCGAGGCGCCAGAGGCAATCCAGTTCAAAACCCACTTCTCTGGCCCCCAAAACGTGGTAACGGATAGCAATGAGTACACGCTTCACCCTAGAGGTCTCCTCAGTTTCTTCGGTTTCGGTGGCAGTAGCCTCTTCGGCGGTGGTGGTTGGAACATGGGCGGAGTCACCCATTCTGGCGATACCCACATCAATATCGGACACATCTCTTTCCAATATGACGAGAAAGATTTCGTGCTGCACAGTCTCAATGCCAACGAGGGAGGGGGTCACCATACGCAATACCAAGGTTTGTTCATTCATGATAAGAGACCACTCACGGGGGAAGGGATTATATTCTTCACTGGAAAAAACAGTCGTTTGGATCTGGAGTCCAGACTCTTAAAAACATTGACAAGGAAAGATACTCTTGATTCAATCCGATTTTTCCTTGAATCGAAGAGCCGAGCCTCTTGATACAGGCGGATTCCCTTTTGATTCAAGCAGAAAGTCCGATTGAATCAAGAGTGTTTTTTATCGTGAATGTTTTTCTGAGTCTGGATTCTACATAGATCCAATCGTCGTTTTTCCGGTGTCCAAAATTGAACCGACTATTTTCCAAATCACGTAAGCGCCAAAATTGCGAATGCGAAAAAAATAAGAAACTCCGTTATATTTGCTGTGTTATAATCTTCAAATTTCAAAAAAATGTATATTCTGTCCGTAGACTATTTTGAAATCAGACACGATTGATTATATCAGCTAACTCCGGAAAAGAATTAAAAAAATAAAAAATAAACCCCTCTACCACTAAATTAGAGATTGGCGCGTGCGCGCGTGAGTTTGAAATCGATTGGTTCAGTTGAGGTATTGATGGGAGAGTATATTGGAGTGCTCGGTGAAAATTTAGAGAAAAAATGCACCCAACAATCCAAATAATATATACGAAATAAAATCGGAGTCATGGTAGGCTGAAGTCTGCATTTCACAAAGTGTACTTTCGAGACAAACGTCAATCCAAAATTCTGATCCACCACGTTTGCAGCTCTTACAAAAGTGCAAACTTATGAAACAACTATGCAACCCGTCTCCATCTTTCCGTTTGAATATTACGTTCAACATCATAGGAGGGGCTCAACACAACATAGAAAAACCGAATAATCCGAAAAAAAAAATGTTATGTTATGTTACATTATGTATTTTTCTATTTTGTTTAGGCTTCAGCCCGCTGTGTGATAAATAAATTATAAACTGACCAAATTCAAATTCTCTGCGAAAGGAAAGAATTCGAGGCGCACATTACTTACTGTTCAAAGAATGCCCGGTGGCTAAAAGTATTGGAATAAAATAAATGTTGAACTCATTGACTTAAATTGTCTAATGGTATAGAATGAACGTTCTTGAACTTCGGAGCCAGGCACTCTTCGAAACAAATGAAATACGCGTTTTTCCTTTCAATGACAATAAATATAAATAAATTTGCAAATGGAAAATAATAACCGCAATAGAACATAATTTATGTTTGCCGGAATCAGAAATTCATCCCAATAGTTATATAGAGATGAACTCCTTTCAGATCTACCACGGGAAGAAACTCATCGCGGACCTGAAAGAGAAGACCGCCGAGGCCTTGTACCAGAAGACACCCGATGGTGCAAGATGGTTCGTGAACGTCAAAATCCCGAACGGACAGCTCATGACCTCAGCCGAGATCAAACAGTTCAACAAAGATTGGGCCAAAATCACCGGACAGACCGAGGCAGAAGTAGAGAAACGGCAGACAGAAAAGCAAGCGAGTTTGAAACGGGAGTTGGAAAAGGGAACCAGTCAACGATCTTCCTGGTGGTGGTGACTTTTGCCGATGATTATCAGTTTTGCAAACGGCGAAGCAAGCCTAGTGTAACGATTATATCGAACACCCTCGACATTTTGTGGCTTTAAAATATTATCGAAAGGGATTTTAAAACATCCACAATTTCATGAGGAAGTTTATGTCATATCAATAAAATGCTTCTCTCAGCAATCGTTTTTTCTTTTCATCAGGACCGGATTAAGGGGGTGGCCACATGGGCCGCGGCCCATGGCGGCAAAATTAGGGGGCGCCAAATTTTGCAATTTTTTTAAAAGCAGGTACAAAAAATCGGATTCAGAATAAAAGTACAAACAAGAAAATGTGAAAAAATCGCTCATTTCCTGAGAGTTCATTAATTTCTAATATTCGACGGTGAAACTACCAAACCACGTATCTCGTTTGCGGTGTTTAAAAATCTACGCTCACATTTTATTTTTTTGAAGTAGACCAAATCAATATCATTCCTTGAAATTGTCACGGAATTTTCTCCGCACAAAGAGGCAAAATCACAGAAATTTTCAATACTGGATATTAATTAGTTTTTCATTTAAAAAATAAAGTATGACAGGAAGTCTGCGACGTCGCAAACCGAGATACGTGGTTTGGTAGTTTCACCGTCGTATTGTCGTATTTCGGTGATACAAAAGACTGCGCACCTTCAATTAGTTGAGTTAAGAGAGAAACCAAACACGTAATTTGGCCTGGAGCGGCGCGGCGCAGAGAGAAATGATGACGAGGACTTGAGATGAATAGGAGAAGCCCTCGGCGCGGCGCACGGTGGATCGAGTCAATGGTAGAGGTCGGTCATGGGCCAAAAAAAAAAGTCGGATTTTAAATATTTTTTCTTGGTTTTCTAGTAGTTAAGCTTCCAAAATGAATGTATCCATGGTTCAAGGGTCTTTGAACCCTTCCGCTTTGACATGCGGGTTGCCTAAAGCTGACATTGCAGGTGGTATCAAATTTGCCGTCTGATTCTCAAGGTTTTATTTCGCTTTTGCATGAGTTCTGTGGCAGATGAATCAAAATTTCAATTAAACATGCTTATTCTCCTCCCTTTAAGGAACATTTTGGTATATCATTAATGTGCATTGGCATATTTTTAGGAGGACCAAAACCACCTCCAAAACTTGCTTTAAAAAAACGCCCAAAAAAATGTTTAGATAGCTCGATAAAAAAATGTCCACTAGTGTCCGCAAAATCCTTTGTTGGGTTGCTTCTAGTACACTATCAGGAATGATTTTATGTAATAATTAGCCGCTAATATCCGCTAATCTGCGAAAACGGTCCATTTGAATGATAGGCAGTCGCGCCTGCTGGGAACCGATCTTGCTCTAATGTCATCAATAAAATCGTGCATCACACGATATCCTTCAATCTCGGTAATTTTTCTACTGATTACTGATTTTGGCTGATTTGTTGATATTTTTGGACGAGACATTAACCTCCTGTTAGTCTATGAAGCTAACTTGATCAGTGTTTTACAGTGCGATAAAGTTTAAGGTGTATGTTTTGCGCACTGTATATTTCACAAGTCCCGTTTTTT